ACAAATAGAAGAAAGGGGCACAATTCAGTAAGTGTGTGCAAGAACAGAACATTTATCTAGAGGAGCAGGGTTTGGGGAAATAGGACAAGAGAAACTACCTCATATAATTTATTTCGATACTCTGCTACAGAGAGCTGGATATCATCATCTAAAGGAAGAATCACATCATAACCCAGAGAGGGCTCCCTGGCAGGACAGTGAAACCTAGGAAGAAGATAATACATAATATAACACACTAAGACTAGAAATAGCACCACAGATGAATACCATGTTAGAAAAGACTGTTCAATCACCTAACGTGACCTCTAGTCTAAACAGAGTTAGAGAGAATTAGGAATTAGCTTTGCCTTTTTTTCTACCATGTGCATAATGGAAGCTTGTGCCAAGAGCAGCTCTATCACGGCTCAAAAGGCAGCAGGGGAAACTGCATGTTGATACTACTCTCACCTTTTCACATAAGGATGCTGCAGTGCCTCCTCTGCTGTCAGCCTTTTATCGGGGTTAAATACCAAGAGTTTTTTCAGAAGATCCAAGGCATGTAGTGGAGTAGAGGATGGCAAAATCTCCTCAAATGTTACTCGCTGCCTAAAAGTCCAGAAACAATGGCATAAGTTCCCTATGTTTAATTCACAGTGAAGTCATGAATTACAATTCTGGGAATCGCATCAAGAGGACAACTAGCCCCAGAATTCACTCAAAGATAGCTTGCCATAATCCAGGAGCACTCCACCATACTCACAGAACTAACTCTCCCACGTTGTTGATTAGGTTTGGATGCTTGCCTCCTAGCCTTGGGAACCTACACAAAGTTTCTAATTTGGAAGTCTAGTCCTTCTCTTGTTTCAGACATAATCAAGACCTACCAGACAGAGCATGCCAGAACCTACTAGAGGAATAACCAATCTCTGGAATATTTCTTTTGACAACAAAAGAAGTCCAAACGCCTAACTTAGATGTTTCAATTAGACTGCTGAAGATCCCATGATCCATCCCTTAGAATACAGAAATATATATATTTCTGTATCATTTGCAATGAGAAGATGAAATTTAAAAATCCTTTTTTGCATTTTAAAATCCTAAAGATAATTTATTAACATAATGAACATGAGAAAACCTAATACATTTGAAAAACAGTTTTAAAACACTACCTTTAATCTTGATTTTAAATCATTTTCATGCCATGACAGCATTCTTTTAGTTTAGAAAAATGATCCAACATGCCATTTGAACTGAGTGGCTCAGAAAAAATTCTTTTCAGTTTTGAGCACAAAGATTTCACTTGTTCTTTTACCTAGCTAGAGCCATCTATCAGAATTTAACCATTCAAGTCTCATATTATCAGAGGAAAAAAAAAGGAAGATAACATCCAAAATGTAGGGCTGTCCAAAAAAAAAAAAAAAAAAAGTTCATTTCAGGTAGGAATGAATGGAAAGTTCCAATTGCTGTCTTCCACTACTTAGAGGAGGGTTATAGAGAAGACAGAGCCAGACTCTTCTCAGAGGTGCATGGCAAAAAGACAAGAAGCATCATCTAAAAATTACAACAATGGAAATTCCTATTGGATACAAGAAAAAAAAAATCATAGTGAGAATCATTAAGCAGCTGGAATGAGGCTGTCAGCCTGTATAGCTTCAAGCATTAGACTCAAAACAACTCACAATAGGAAAATATTGTAATTTTGAGAAAATACACATAACAATAGCTTGGAACATAGGCAAACCTTATTGTTGTTCCCAGATTACAATCAGTCAGTGGTCTTCTCATCAGTGTTTCATTTTTTTATTTTTTAAAAAAAAACCTTACATCCCTTCCTTAGAGGTAGGTGAATACGCAGAGAGGAGGCATCATTTCCAGTGGTGAACACTGGAAGGTGAACGTCAGATGAACAGGTGACATTTCTCTCCATGTGACATAGTGGATTGCTGACTTCTGAGACATAGCTATGCAAGGCTTACCGGGAGCTCATGCGGTTGATAACTGAGGCCCTGTAATCTGACTGCATAGCCAAAATATCTGCAATAGAGAAAAGATACAGTTAACACCAACATTACGATTACTGGAACCATACAGCTTACGAAGGAAAGCGAATATTTGATTTTAACATAGGAAATTAGGATAACAAAACTCAGTGGGAGATCTTACGGAAGGAGGATGCAATATTGATTTACAAATGTTCTAAGCTGATTTTCTCAATTCCTATTCATCCTCATAGATTGCATATACTTACCCTCTTACACCCACATACTCAGAAGCACCAGGACATCTGAAGTCAAATGGTCTGGCCAGGATCACTTGTGTCTGATACAGTGATTAAGGGATATCAGCTTTCGAGTTCCTCATCCCATTCCTGGGGTTCTTCTTGCCTGGCGATGGTTAACTATTTTCTGCAAATATCTTTCACACTCTTTAAGAGTAACCAGTTGTTCTGGAATGGTCTTTTGCTTCAGAATCTTGCTTCTTTGGTGTCCATAAATCTTAGGCAAGATGCCTAAGATTGCTCATCGTTTGTTTTTCCTTGTTTGAAATAATGCTTTGACTATATGTCTGGTTTTACTTATTTGGCTAATAGAACAAGAAATTGTGTCTGTGTTATGCTGCAACTTTGCTGCCATGGTCCTGTGTTTAGGATGCAGGACCTTCTGCTAGAGTCATTTGTCCTGCTGTCTTATCAGAGTGCAAAATCAGGTCTGATTTTGACATAATCAACACATTCCTCAATTTTATTGCTGAGAACAGTAGCATTTTTTGTTACCAGTGCAGGGTGTTCTTCAACCCGTTTTGTTCTTTTTCCTGGTGTTTTCACACACACATTTCCATTCACATTTTATAAACACCAACCTGTTACAAATCTCTAATAAAGCATATAAATAAATGTAAACTAGAATAGAATTTTTCAAGACTGTGATGTCGTTAAATCAAAGGTGGTTATTTTTCCAAAAACTATTCATCAGCTCAGTTAGAACACATCAACATGTTACAAAAATTAATAAACTCTATGGATTGGAAGTCAGAAAAGATTATAATAATAATAATCCCTTGTGTATATTAAATATACGTACTCCAGTTTTCACTTCTGTGTTTAGATTACCAGACTAGAAAGTCCAATTTACTGTTACTATACAAGTCTCACTGAAGTATGATATTCTGTTTTAAGTTGTTATCCTCTTATAAAACTCAAAACATGTTTTGAAGGGCCTAGTTCTTATTTCCTCATCTAACCAAGCACAGTTCTATTTTCCTCTAATGCTAACATTTCACAGTTAAGTCTTTAATTTCCTTGGGAAGATGCAAGAATGATTCACAACCGATATCGATATCCTCTTCCCTGATGCAGCTGCACTGCTTCCCTTTCACTCTTTCACCACTTCTCTGAATACCTTCCTCCACAGAAGAGTCCTACCTTCTGCAGATGGGGCAGGAATGACTCTCAAGATCTGCTCTATTTGATTCACAGTTGATGTTCCAGGAAAAAGAGGCTTCCCAAGTAGCAGCTCCCCCAGAATACAGCCAATGCTCCACATGTCCACCCCTTTAGTATAGCTACAAATAAGAACAGAACAGTGTTAGAACCAGATCAAGCAAGTATCTTTCTGTACCTGATATTTTCATCCTCTATGTTAGTTCCTTTTCATAGGAAAGCAAGCTTGATCTACTGCTTGAACAAGAATCTTGCCAGGTTTTGACTACAAGGTGAACGAGATTAGGGAAATCATGAATCAGAACACTGCGTCCAGTCCTGGGCTCCCCAGTGCAAGAAAGAGATGGATTTACTGGAGCAAGACCAGCAAAGGGCCACAAAGATGATTAAGGGACCGGAGCATCTCTCATATGCGAAGAGGCTGAGAGCTGGGACTGTTTAGCCTGGAGAAGAGAAGGCTCCAGGTGAATCTTATCAATGTTTATAAATATCTGATGGGAGGCTATAAAGAGGACAAGGCCAGACTCTTCTCAGGGGTGCCCAGTGAGAGGACATGGGCACAAGAGGCAATGGGCACAAACTGAAACACAGAAAATTCCACTTGATCATAATAAAATACTTCTTTACTATAAGGGTGGTTGAACACTGCAACAGGTTGCCCAGAGAAGTTGTAGAGCTTCCATCCTTGGAGATATTAAAAACTCAACTGGACATGGTCCTGGGCAATCTGCTCTAGCTGACCCTTCTTGAGCAGGGGGGGTTGGATCAGATGATCTCCGGAGGTCCCTTCCAACCCCAACTACACTCTGAGTCTGTGAATGTGGCAAGAATAAAACAAAAAGGAGATTTGTCCTATTAGAAACCTGATCTAGGAAACCAGAAAAGCAAATATATTAAAGGTGAATATCCGGACAAGGTAATATATACTTTAGATATGACCAATAATGAAGATACAAGCTGCTGTGTGGAAGCAACTGCTGTGACTTTTCAGGGCATAATGTATCAGAAAGTAATTACAAATACTTAAGCAGAGTAAGTGGCAAACAGTGGGTATATGACAGTTTGCAAAATATCCACATTTCAGAATTGGGATTTTCACATATATTTATCTTCTTTTCTGATTTTGTGTACTGAAGTCAAAAGCAAGACTAAACCTAACCAACATGCAATTAGCTTAACATTTCATTATAGATTATTTCCTGAAGGTCTATCAAAAACAAATCTTAACTCAAATAACAGATTCTTCTAGTTACATTTAAAAAATTAACAGATTCAAGAAATGCAGTGAATATAACTTTTTTATTTTACTGTAGGCTCAAATATGCAGTCTACTTGAAATCATCACTGTAAAGCAGACTGTTATGAAACTTCTATTTTGAAAGTCACAGAGACTGTCAGTGGGATTTCAAAGTTGATCAGAAAGGGGTATATATACAATCTGAGAGGCAGGCAGGAGTGAAGTACAGCTCTCTTTTTAGCGCTGGCCAGTGTTAGGATGACATGACTACTGACTAGGGCCTTGCCTGAGGTTAAACTAACTGAAGATGACACGGGACCCTGCTG